TGTTAGAGTACATCCCACATCGGAAATCCAAGAGTAAAATAATCAGTATATAAGCTCTAGAGTTGAACTAACTAATTGATTGGATTCAATCTTTTAATGTGGTTCAACCCAAGTGTCTTATTACCCAATCCAGTTATCCGTACCCATCCTAAATTTTATCAATATATATAAATAAAAACATAAATATATTAGAAAAAATAAATCTTTTTACTAATGATAGGATGCTCGGAGACGTCAACCCAAGCCGACGCCAATATGCACTCCTCCTCCGGCGTCCACTTTTGGATTGACCGTGCCGCCTCGGTCATCGTCCTTTTGGCTTTGTGGCTTTTCCGGCGTGTACCTTTTTTCGACCCGGACGTTTCTGGTTGAGTCTCCGGAACCGAATCTCGGTCGATGTACCCCGATTGTTGCGTCTCATAGATCGGCGGTCGATCGCCCCTTTGTTGGTAGAACCACATCGCGGCGTTGCTCAGCGGGAGATCGTCGGGAAAGAAGCCGGAGCCGGAAGGATTCATGTTGAAAAGAGAGGGGGGTGATTTCAAAATTTAAAAATTGGGAATAAGAAGAGATTGAAGATGGAGAAGGTGTGAGATATTGGGAGAGGGGTTTGAATTTATAAGATTTTTTTTGAATTTGGGGGGTGCAACGACTATTAGAGCCGTTAAAAGGGGAGGGGATTGCGTCAAACAAGTGACTCCGAGCACATCACACCCAAATCACGCCGATGGAGGGCGGTGTTTAACGCCCCAGCGTTAAAACGCCTCATCACGCCCCACAGCGTGAGAGTTATTACCAGTGCTCTTATTTGGTAGTTGGCTTGAGAGGTAGCCGTTGCACCCCCCAGCGTGAGAGGTATCACGTCTCACGCCCTAGATTTTCAATTCTATTTTCGTCTTTGCATAATAATTTGATCCAATTCTTCGATGGACGTAAGGTTCATGCTCATTTTATAAATCTTAAAACATTTGTGGCATAAAAGATATAAGCCTTTTGCAAAAAAAGAAAAATATTTATATACAAATCCATGAAAAATATGAAAAGATTCATTTTTTTAATTAGATCTTGATACCATGTAAGTATCACTCTTGTATTTGATGTTTCGCTACTTCCATTTCATTGCTAAATGCTAAGAAGCGTAAAATGGGTTTCTTAACTAGGAAAAAAACTAAAATAGAAGTACTCCGTAATATAAAATATATCAAAATAGGAATTTCGTGTTTTTATTATCAAAATATGAGTTAAAGTTATATACAATGTCAATTATGCCAATATATAATATCAAAAAGTATTGTGTAATGTCTATATACATACAAACTCATATTTTAGCAATAAAATATGCTTCTATTTTGATACTTTTTATATATTTTGATGCTATTTGGCGTGATTTCTTATCATACTTCAAATGTATCATACTTTGACAACGGATCATTTGAGAAATTTACAACATTTGATTTGATTTCGAAATTGATTGCTCTAATAATCTACCCCTTAGTATTCTTTATGTATAAAAAGGATACTCCAAGCTCCAAAAAATCGATAAGTGGCACTCTCACATGTCACCTGTGTGGAAATTTAAAAATATTAATTTTTGAAGGAATTATCCATTCCATTGTTGTTCCTTTTCCTATAATGGCTATAAGGAAATTAAAACATAATGGAATATTCAATTCCTCTTTTTCAATTCTACCCTCTTCAAATATTTCATCCCTTTGCTTTCGTTTGTTTTTCTTTCATTTTTAATATAAATAATACGAAGTACAATTTTCTTAGAAAAATTATTTTCTTTTATTAATTTACATAATACTAAACTGAGTTCAAAAATTTATGAACATTTTATTAATCTAAATTGGTGGGTGTGACTGTGTAACAAAAACAATGTAAACTCTTATTTTGATCTTATAAAATTTAAGACTCCTATTTTAGTATTTTTGTAATTTTTTACTCTTATCTTAGAGAGTTTCCTTAAATTATCTGCTTACTATTCATAGATTCAAACTTTATTCACTTTCTATTTCTATTTTTACTAGTCATTTAATAAAGTAACATAATCATGTCACCAGTAGTTTCATATATTTTTTTGATGTAACTTTTGAATACGTAATATTTATTTTTTAATTCTACAGCATTCTTTACTTAAAATAATTTAAAAATAATTATAATTAATTATTGTAAACCGAAAAAACAATTTACTTTGAGAGTGAGCGAGTACCATTAAAGTCACTAAACCGACCACGTGGTCCCATGCATACCACCAAATTTGTTCAACGCATTCATCTTTACTACGAGTATTGAATACCCTATTTCCACTTTTCAATCATCTCTATGAATAGTGTGTGTACTTGAGAGTAGTACCCCGCCCCGCGGTTTAACAAAAATTATACTCCTTCCGTCCCTAAATATTTGTCACATTTGTATTTTCAAGGCAAAATATCAAGGTTTTTCATTTCATTTTATTTACATATTTGTATAGAAATAAAAAATTAAATTTACATATAAAAAAGCTACATGAAAAGTTCTTCGAAATAAGAGGTGTCAAGAATATTTTATTTATCAAATAACCAATGAAAACGTAAAAATAAACAAAAATTCATGCGACTGCTGAAAAAGCAAACGTTGCAAATAATTTGGGATGGAGGGAGTAAGTGTACATCATTTCCTCGTGGATCATAATATTGCATTGAGAAATGTTGCCTCTACTTCAAAGTTATACCCCAATTATTCAAACTTATACTCTCTCTCCCCAATTTGATTATAAATTGTGTGTTACGGAATAAAATTTCTTATTTTTAGAAATCATTTTATTTATAAATTGGTATATCAATAAGATATAAAAATTACATATTAAAAACTACTTCTACAAAATAAGAGATTACACGAATATTTTATTTTATCAAATACTTAATTAAATCGCGTAAACAAACAAAAGTTATCGAGAAGAGAGAAAAATTTTAATCTATTTAGGGACAGAGGGAATACTTTTTATTATTTACATTGACTCAATATATCTTTTTGTACATAATTGGGCAAGGTTCCCATGACATTGGGAATCAATGTCATGGGATGACCCGGGGGCGCTCCGGTGCCCCGTTCATAAAATTGACGGTTCCTATCCCCCCTAACCCCCCCGATAAACCCCCCACCCCGCCCCGCACCCCCCACCCCCTTCAATTGCACCCCACAAGTTGATTTTGACATTGGAGTCAAATTTTGATTTTGACTCCAAAGTCAAAATCAACTTGTGGGGTGCAATTGAAGGGGGTGGGGGGGGCGTTCGGGTCGGGGCGGGGTGGGGGTTTACCGGGGGGTAGGAACCGTCAATTTTACGAACGGAGCACCGGAGCGCCCCCGGGTCATCCCATGACATTGGTTCCCAATGTCATGGGAACCTAGGTGTACATAATTTCACGACTACACTAAGACCATCTCCAATGGGATGCCTACAAGAGATGCTAGGAGAAGAGAGAGTGAGATGTTGTTGGATGTTATTATTGTAGGTGGGTGCTCATTATAGATGTCAAGGAAGAAAAAGAGAGGGGGATGCTTCACATAGCATCGGTGCTTGAGGGGGAAGGGTTTCCATGCATTTATTTCTTTAATTTTGTGGTTCAATGATTATGTGTCATATAATTCTTTTTTGGGCAATTTTCTTAAATAGCTCTCTTTTAAAATACTTTTCCAACGACTTCTTTTTGTAATTCCAATAAATATTTTAAGTAAATGTTTTTTTACAAATAGCTGCAAATTAAAATTTTTTTTTCTTAAAAAATGGATTTACATCCAAATGGGTCGTTTTTAGATTTTTTTGATGTTGATGGAGAACAAACTAGTTTTAAAATATAAAGAATAATTTTTTTCAATATAATATTTTCAAGTTTTGTATAATTAATACTCCGTAATTTATTATATAACTAAATACTTATAATTAACAAAAAATAAAATATAAATATATTTTAGTGGACCTACTATATTAATTGAATAGATATTTAGTCATCCAAATGAGATGCTACCATTGAAAGAATAAGATGTTGAAAGAGGTGCTAGAATAACATCTTTATAGTGGAGCCCACACATGGACATCTAATGAGAGATATTGTCATTGTAGATGCTCTAATATTGTGTGTAAGACTATAAAAGTGTAAATATTAATCTTTAGGATACAAGTTGAGATATCATCGTTTGTTGATATGGAACAGTACACATTTCACGGAGACACAAATGCCGTAGAAATTCAAAGGTTAAGACCATGTTTGGATGTTGGCGGTTAGTTGTTAAGTGTTGCAGTTCGTGTCAGTTGTTGTTGTGAATGACTGTTTAGTTTAGCAGATTTGACCGGAAAGATTAATTGGCTACTTGTTTGGCAAAATTAGATGTTTGAAATAGTTGGCAAGATTAGTTATACTTATTTTCCAAAATGATTAGTTCTAATCAACTTTTTTTCTTCAAATCAGTCAATTTTTTGAAATAAAATCTCATAAAAAAGATCTCCCGACTTTACTCAAACACCGTGAATCAATTAAAAAGGAAAAATTCTGCTTCGTTTTTTTTTATATAAAATGAGTTTTTATATTGAAAATAGACTAATTTGAAAAATCATCCAATTATATATTCTCTTCGTCCCTAAATATTTGCTACATTTGTATTCTCGAGACAAAATATCAAGTTTTTTCAATTCATTTTATTTACATATTGGTATAGAAATAAAAAATAAAATTTACATATCAAAAAACTACATAAAAAGTTCTTCGAAATAAGAGGTGTTAAAAATATTTTATTTTATCAAATAACCAATGAAAACATAGAAATAACAAAAGTTCCCGCGACAGCTGAAAAAACAAATGTTGTAAATATTTTGGGACGGAGGGAGTATGATTATTTTGGAAAATTAGTTTTGACGATCGTTAGTCAGAAAACTAAACTGACATTATTTTTAATTAGCGAATACCATCTCGATAGTTAATATCTTAAGGACTAATTAATATAAATATATCATTATTGACTATCATTTTAGAAATTTAATCAACATTGAAGGGTAAATTTGAAAGAAAAAATCTACGGGAGGGGTAAAATTCAGCATCAAGATAATTCTATTGAATCTGAAAACACCCATTGGGAGCCATAATAGTAATTGCATAAGGCAATGAGTACTGTATTATTTACATGAACACCGCGTTTATATCAATCTTCTTCTTCATTAAAAAAGGTTTAATTTTACCAGGCGCGTTTCTTCCGGTAAGACTCGTTCGCCGCCGACCGACCGACGACGACCTCAAACACTGGGCCGGATAGCCGATGACATCACACTACTGTGACTTATTCTTGAATCCGAGCTAAAACTCGACCCTGATGACGCAACACCCCCGCCAAAGCACGCAAACAAGTTCCGCACCGCCCTCCTCAGGCCGCCGTTCCGCCGCCGTGATGATCCGCTCCCTCCTGCCCCCCAGGATATCCTCCTCGGCGCCCCATTGCTGTTGAATCCACCGTCCATTTCGGTGTACACCACCGGGAGCTCCCTCTCCCCTCCCCTCCTGCCGCCGGTAAACCTTCCCACGGCAAATCCTCCGCCGGGCAGCCTCCAGATTGTTAGCCCCACGGTTTGATCTTCATTTGCGATGAGGCTTTGGTCGTTCGAGGGGGTTCTGGTGGGCTCCGCTGAATCCCGGGTGCCGGCGGCGTCGACAGGGAGCTCGAATCTGCAAACAGGGCATGAATTGCGCAGGGATAGCCATGGGAGAATGCAATCGGAGTGGTATAAATGTTTGCAGGGCATTTCTCTTGCCTCGCCGGAGAGCTCGAATGGATCCTTACAGACGGCGCAATGGGAATCTGTGGCTATGTGAGAGTCAACGATTACGACGGTGGGCATTGACTCGATCGCCGCCTTCGACGCCGGCGGGTTCTCCATTCTTCCCAATCCGTTGGCTTCAAGTTGAGCCAACTGCTCCAACAGCCTGTCGAAACCCGACCCGAGAAGAAACTCCGACATGCTAGACGGAAGGGGCCTCAAGCCCGACCCGGCCCCATCGTCGTAATAAAGCTGGAACCCACCGCCGCCGCCGCTATCGGCCGGACCGCGGAGGACAATTACGGGGTTAAACGGAGACCGATCTCCTCCATTTCTCCTGCTCCTCCTCAGCCTCGGGCTCGCGTCAATATCCGACACGGCATTTTGACCCGAATTGGGCATCATGTACATCGCTGCCGCAGCAGCGGTCGGGAGACGACGCCGACGAGAATCGGAGAAAGAAGATCGCGGCGGCGGAGTGTCGACTTCCTCGATGAAACCGCTGCTGCAATCCGGGCAGGCGATTGGATCTTGGGCCAACACCCTCACAAACCTATTGCACCTGTAACACCAATACGTGGAAGACATCGACATCTATGAATGAACGAGAAATTGAAATTCCGGCCACAGATTTCAGATCTGAAACGGATCGAGAATAAATCCAGTAAGGAAAATGTATAACCTCGCCGAAGAAGAAGGAAAAAAGATCCGCTTTTAATGAAAACCCAACAGAATTTGGGGAAATTCCGGGTGTAATTGAATGTAAATCGGGTGAATTTTTCAATGCGAGGGTGAAAATTCAAAGAAACGGATGAACATTCATGGGAAAGGAGAACAATAAGAAGAAAGACGGATGGGGAAGAAGAAGAGGGGAAAGTTCGCAGATTAATAAAGGGGAGGGGAGGGGCAGGTAAACAAAGTGAAATTGGGGGCAGAAAGGTAAATTCAAGATAAGTTTATTACGACTGAGAAGTGGCGTCAAATCAACGCTCTGGTGTCAGTACAAAAAGACAAGTGGGAGATATTGATTGATGAGAGTTTTTTTGGCTGCATTTGGAGTGATTTTGGCGAACCAGAAATGTTTTTGTAATGCGGAGTAATAATAACACGGAGTACTATAATAGCAGTCCATTGTTACTATTTCGGATCAATAATTTTTGTTTGTATACAACAAAAACATTAAGCAGCATCCTCCATTTACTCTAATATTTGTACCTCATTTATACATCACGCATATGTATTAATATTTTAATATTTTACACTGATACAAAGTGTTAGTGTCTTAACAAAACTTTATATTAGAACAAAGTTTGTTGATGCGTGAACAAAAATTAGCACTACACCAACACAAAATGTTGGTGTATCCCAGCGATGTATAAAATGAAGTACAAATTCTTGGGGGTACAAATAGCATTTTCCAAACATTAATCGAGTATTCGAGAGTCTCAACATTGCGAGGTAAGGACGTCAGTGTTACAATTTTTGTACGGATTACAACGGACGGGGAAGATGAACGGCCCCGGTAATAAAAATAAATAAAATTCTGAATTTATAATTTATTCAGAATATTACAAAATAAACAAAGTTGAGAAAAATTGTTATATCTTCAAACGGCCTTGTTGTACGAGGACATTAAGGACTGGACAGTGAGGACGTTAAGCACTGGACAGCGAGGTCTTTAAGCACTGGGCAGCGAGGTCTTTAAGCACTGGACAGCAATACAAGGACGTTATGCACAGGGCTGCGAGGACATTATGCACAGGGCTGCGAGGACATTATGCACTAAGACAGAATGCAGCGAGGTCTTTATGAACTGAACCTGCAAAAACACAACACCGTGGAAGGACAGCGGAGTCGCCGGAGCTGTCCTTAAGGTAGTAGTGCCCGCCTACCGTACCGGAAAACGTGGGCACTCTCCTCCCAGGATAAAATCGCTATCGTGTGTGGAGATTGTACGGACAACCCACACACCAACGAACAAGAACAACGTAGGAACGTTGGCGAAAAAAAAACTTTAAAGGGGATGGCCGGAAAACCAAGAGCTCTCTTTAAAAAGGAAAAAAAATGTTTTCTCTTTTCCTTTCTCTCTTTCTCACGCAAGGCACCAAAAAAATGGAGAGGAGCACTTTGATTTTATAACTAAGGTGTTTAAAATGTGTAACTCCTACACCATTAAACCCTTAAAATTAATCATGGCATTTGTGGAGTGTTAATGGTGATTAATTAGCCATTAACACGTCCGTTACGTTACGCTCCGTTTAAAATTTGTCCCGTATAATTGGAGATTAATGGCAAGTTAACTCCGTAAAAATGGACTAATTTTAAACAACACGTAAAATTAATAAAAGAAGATTGTTTTGAGTAAAATTGCAAAAATTGCAATCCTCACCATATTCTTTTATTAACGGGTTAACTCTGAGAATCAATTTCTCATTCACCCTCTACCATTTTTGGCGTATAAATTGTCAAAACATTTATCTCATTTAAGAGAACACACGTCCATTAATTAACGGTTAAAACCGTTAGTGGACCTATTGACAAATATACCCAAATTGGTCCATTTAATGCCAATTAAAAATGCCAAAAATTCCAACAGTCGGATGTACGCATTCTGACTCCAATGTTTATAGCATGGAGCGGCTATTTCTAGATAACCCATCATAAGCGTCGAAGGTTGCATTGATTAAGTGTTACTTTACAATTGCAAGAAACATAGATGTTTATAAGAGTCAATTTGATTTATTCCATCACATTTCAAAATAAAAAAGTAGTGAATCTTTGGCTCCACAGAGCAATGGAAATAAACATGTCACCAATGGCTTCTTAAAATTTATGATATAATTTTTAAATATATAAGTTAATTTTTTTTTATATATATATAAATTTGTAACTAAAATTATTTTAAAAGATAAAAAATTTTACACATTGTTTGAAAGAAGACAAGTAATTATAATCAAAGGGAGTGTGTTAACTATTGCACGTATTAGCGACATATCACATTTTTTATTTATATTTATATTTGTCTCATTTTTTTGTAAATGATTTCAAATCAAAATATAGAATGAATGCTAAATGAGATTCGAATAGGATTGACATTTAAATATGGCACATTTCAATCACACTATACTGCAGTGAAGTAATAGTGGTGCTACTGGAATTTGTGGGAAGTAATTCTTTGGTTGCTATCCCTAACATTCACCCATCGTGTTGAAAGTCAAAATTGATTTCAAAGTCAAAATTAATTTTGGAGTGCAATTAAAGGGAGTGAAGATGTGTTCTGATCGAGGTGAGGTGGGGCGGTTTACCAGGAAGTTTAGGAGAGGTATAAACCATCAATTTTATGAACAGAACACTGTAGCACTCCTGAATTATCTCATGACGTTGGATTCCAATATCATGAGAACCCCTGCGTTAACCGAATAGTAATTCTTATTTAATTTGGAGAAGTATGTGCATATACATCTTCCCCCGATTATATCGTGTTGTGGGGTTTTAATAATAACTTGTGATGAGAATGCGATATTAGTTTTTCAAAATTAAACTTGACAATTAAAATTAGCAAATGCACATTCCAATCATATTCTTTCTTTGGCCCTGTTTGGTATCAGCGTTAGAGATTAGCTTTAGAGTTTTGAAAAAGCTATCCGACGGTAGCCTTTAGCATCAGCGTTTTCAGAATTAATCTGCACCGTTAAAATTTTATCCAAAATGCTAACGCTAATCGAAAACGCTGTTACCAAACAAAGCCTTCATCTCGAAATGGATATCACGAGTATTTATTTTTGTTTATTTTCATTTTTATTTTTCAAATGTTATCCTGGATTGTTTTTTTTTTAAATTTTATTTTTTGGAGATGTTATATATTCGTATTTAACTATTGTCACACACTTTTGCTTGCAATGGACTCCTCCCTATCTAAAATATCTTCAGATATTTTCTTAAAATTGGAAAATGGTTAGAGGTTCCTTTAGACGAGGATTCCATATATGCCAATAGTCATTTTTTCCGCCTTTTTATTCTCTCTTTTTAAGAAGATATTTTTATATTGTTTATAGATTTTTTATATGATTTTTAAAAGCTATTTATGTAAGTTGTATTTTTTTATTTTTATACTAATTTAAACATAAAATTAATTTAATGAAAATAAAATTTAATACGTTATTCAAAAGACAATAGTAATAATTTAAAAATAGATGAGCATATATATATATATATATATATATATATATATATATATATATATATATATATATATAGTTGGGAATTACCGAGTCACACGAAAAAAGGAGGCGGGCAAAATTACTAGAATTGAGGCTTTCTTTTTGTACCAGAATGACAGGCACTAATGTCACGCTTAACAAAAAACCACTAGCCGCATTCGGTTTAAGAAGCAATTAGCCGCATTTCTTCTAGTCTATAAACACCAGCTTTTTCGTATCCACCGTGGGCTTGTATACTATTGGGCCGTGTTCCTTGGATCACACGGTAAAGGAGTCCAAATCCCATTCCAGGAGTGATTACTCTTGATTTGTTTCCTATTTGATAATTATTGATTTGTTTCCTTGTAGGAGTTAAATCCTTTTCTATTTTAGTTTTATCCTCTCCTATAAATAAAGGAGAAACCTTTTGTAATTGGGTAGAATAATTCAATATACTAATTACTTTCTCCCTTATGAATTTCTACATGGTATCAGAGCAAGATTACTAGGGAAAACCCTAATCTAGACAAACGACGGTCCATCACTGTCCGCCGCCGGATCAAGCACGTCTTCCGCCGGATCACCAACATCGACCGCCAGACTATCCTCCTCGACCGTCGACATGGCAGAAGCAGAAGAGAATCTCGTCGGTAAGTTCTTCGATGAGGAGGAGAAGATCCCTATGAAGGGAAGTTCTTACGAACTCAAGAACGCAGACACACCTGGATTAATTATCACCCAAGTTAAACTAAACGGTGATAATTATGAAGAATGAGCTCGTGCAATGAGAATTGCATTCCGCGCAAAACGGAAAATTAGATTCATCGACGGATCCATCCCTTGTCCAGAAGAGGGAGATGAAAACTATGAAGAATGGTTGATTGTGAATGCCATGTTGGTCTCATGGATTTACAATACCATTGATGGCAGCCTGAGAAACTCCATCACACAGGTAGAAGAAGCAGCAGAACTATGGAAGTACATCCAAGATCATTTCTCTGTTGCAAACGGTCCTCAAATCCATCAACTGAAGAAGGAACTTGCAAACTGCAAGCAAAACGGTCAGTCCATCGTTACGTACTTTGGAAAATTAAAACCATATGGGACGAACTCGGTGATCATGAAAAAATCCCCGCTTGCAAGTGCCATGGATGCAAGCGTGGGATAAGAAAAGCACTTGTCATCCAACGCGACAAAGAAAATGTTCATCAATTTCTGATGGGATTGGATAATGAAGGATATGGGAGTCTACGATCTAACATCATCGCCACAGAACCCTTGCCACCACTGAATCGCGTATACTCCACCATCATACAGCAGGAAGGGGTCTTGAAGACTACTCAAGAAGAGGAACGTAACCGGATGGGCTTTGTCGTCACCTCTAAATTTGACCGTGACGCAACTAAAGATTTAAAGTGCAAACATTGTGGGCTGAGCGGATACGAAAAGAGTGGTTGCTTTCAACTCGTTGGATATCCTGAATAGTTGGGAGATCGCCCACGCGTCTGAACCCAGGACGAGGTAATGGTCGCGGCAATGGAACAGGGGGACGGTGCGGCGGCAGGGGGGCAACGCCGGCCGAGGTAACTGCGGTGGGGCTGGTGGCGGTCCAGCAGGTGGACCGGTGGCCCACACGACTCAAGCCAACGCAACAGATGGGGGGCGTGCGTCTCATCCACCGAATCTCCCTTCTCTTAAAACCAATCAATGCAATGCACTTATGGGACTCTTA